TACTTTTACTCGTTCCGTTGATGAATTTATCAGGTTTAACAGTTTTATTAATGTGCTTGGGCATAAACATACTATCGTTAGAATAATTTGCATTTATATACACTGCGCATAAAACAATTAAAGGATATTGAGGTTATGGGTTGATCTGGCACCTAGAGAATTGTTTGAATGATTGATACATTATCGACAGACGTAGGTGGCTGTATGAGAAAAAAGTTATATTTGTTTGGCAGGGAAAAAAATGCGTTTATTGAGCATTTGAGTACAAAAGGAAGAAAAAAAATATAATTTTTGCATATGAGAAAAACAAATGAAAAAAGGTATTTCCTTAAAAGAAAATCGTTTTCAGTTGAGGGTATGGTTCGAGTCAATGCGGTTATTAATGAGAGGTATTCTGTCCCACTCTTTCCAGTTCTGAGAGAGTTTGTGTAGGAGTCCAGAAATTCGTCTGCCTAGAATGAGGCCAAACATGCTCGATTGGGTTCATGTCCGGAGAACAAGCTGGTCATGATTCCTTAATCGAAAGGAAATCATTCTCCAAATTAGCACGATGTGGCCTGCAATTATCGTCCATCAGCATGAAGCCATTTCCAATTGCTGCAGCCTTAGGGACAACACTAGGTCTCAGGATCTCATCCCTATATCGGCTACCGGTCAGAGCTCCATCAGATCGGTGAGACCATCAATGGAGATACCAGCTCCATCACTCACCCACCATCAAATCTTACACTTTCGAGCACGAAGGCAATAATATGCAATTATTATAATTTTATGTAAGAACATTTTGTTAGCAAATTAAATGCAATAAAATGAAGGATTTAAAAACAATCATTTGTGTTTGAAAACTCTTAAACTTAGGAATACGGAATGTGCGACACAGTAAAAGAAGTAATAAAGAGAAGTAGTCACATTATATAACGATAATCTCTTATCATATAACATTGCACATTAGATCAACTCCTCCTAGACGAGAGAAGGCATATTAGCACAGATCAATTCAGTAGTCTAACTTAACAAATATAAACTGAGCAGTGGATGAAAAATAAGAAAGACGTTACCACACTCGAGCTACTAAGCTGCGCAGTTCTTAAAAAATACGAAAGATGTCATTGCTTTTGAACTACTAACTTTCTTGTTTATGATAACCCGTGATGAGGCTTTCTCTTTTCAGGTATTGATTGGATACGGTTTTATCTGTCACCCTTTTAAAAAAAATTAAATGCTTATTAAGATTTATATCTGTCAAAATCTAATTTTTCCCCTTCTTTATTTTATTTTATTTATTTTATTTTTTTTTACATTTCAACATTAATTCAAGTGCGAGTTTATGAAATGAAGATCTCGAGAGAGAAACATCAATGGATGAAAAAGATCGTTCATTTAGAGGACGCCATACCACGGGAAAAACTTTTCATCGCAAATTTCTCTTTCACCTCCATAAAGTAATTTAAAATATAGATAAAATGAGTTCATGCAAACCTAGAGAAAGAACCGTGGTGGCTCAAGGCTTCCAATGAGGGGAAAGGTGTTCGAATCCCAGCGACAGCTGGTCGATACGATTTCCGCACCAGGCACGCACCGATCGCAGTGCTGGCGTAAAATATCCTCAGTAGTTGACGGATCATGGGTTAGAGTCCCCTTGCCACCTGGCTAACCTTGGGTGGTTTTCCCCTCCATGTGATGCAAATGCGGGTTAGCTCCATCAAAAGGTCCTCCACGAAGGAATATTTCGCCCACTATTTGATTCAGGAGTTCCCTTGTCTTCTGAATTGGGTTTAAAATAACAAGGCTAAGGAGTTGAACATTAGTAGTAAACCCAAAATTGGGTCGGCTGTTCAACGGCAGTTATAAAAATTAAAAGAAATATTTATGAAAATAAAACTTAGAGTCAGCCATGAAGTTTCACATTTTTTTTCTTTTTTTTTTTAAGTATTTGAAATTTTATGGCTTACTCTAGGTTTCGCATGAACTCACATTTTCTATATTTTAAATTTTGCTGTGGAAGTAACTAAAATTTGCAATAAATAGTATCTACCGCGATATGGCTTCTTCTTAAAACAACAAAAGTGAAAAACATTTTACTCAAAAGGCGCTTAAAACTGTACGAGAGCTGTTTCTTAAGTAAGGGCCGTTTAAAAATAAAAACCATATGAAAGAAATTTGTGAAGCAAATTTATTTTTTGATTCTACATACGTTTCTCTTTTTCTCAAAATAGTCGCCAAGTTTTTTTAAACACCCTATCATACCTTCCAACTACATTTAGAATATCCTCTTCATAGTAGCTTGCCGCCTGCTCCGATAACCAAGAGGTCACGACCGTTTTCACGTCTTCGTCATCGTTGTACTGGTAGCCGCCAAAATGATGTCTGAAGCATCAGAAAAGATGAAAATCACTTAGCGCAAGATCTGGGCTGTATGGAGGGCTGGTCCAAAATTTCCCAATCAGAAAAGAGTTCAATAAAACTCGGGACTGAGCTGTGGAGAGAGACACTGTCATGGAGTAGCAAAATTTCTTGCAAGCTTTCCAGTAGGAAGCTTCGTAAATTTCCCAAATCAGCCGGTGAATGTATGCAGCAGACAGTTTTTTATCCGACTAAAAACGCATCAGTGCTTCATACGCAACTGGCGATTTGTTAAACTTTAACATTTTAAAGACACAGAACTGATAGTACAGGTTATCTACACAGCTGTAACTGAGCACATTTGTTTCCAAGGAAAGTCATCAATAGGACACATTTTTTAAGAAATTTTTTATTTCTACAATCATAACAAAACAAAAGATATCCGATAAACATGATACAAAACAAAAGATTTTTTTATTCGAGAATAATGAGTAATAATTGTTTCTAGAACTTTCGATTTTTGAAACAAAAAGTAAATAGTTTCTTGAGTAGCATTACCAATTTTCGAAGACATTTTTAATAATTTTTTTTTAACTTCATATTTTTATTTGAGAATGGTTATTTCTGGAGCTTTATTCGTACAAAAGGTGAACTATCTTATAAGAAGTTAAGCTTTACGGATAGTGCAACTTTTAATCGATACTTTTGAAGACATTTTTAATAGTTTATTTTTACATCTGTTTTCTTGTTCGCCAACGATTGTTGCTAAAGCTTACTTTGAACAAAAAGTGAACAATCCCATGGGTAGCATTAGCCAAAAATGAAATTTTTTTTTCTTTGAAATTTTTAAAAATATCTGAATACTTTGTATTTTTATTGGAGAATAATTGTTATTGGTACTTGATTCCAACAAAAGGTGAACAATTCCATGGGTAGCATGAGCCAAAAATGTTTTCTTTTGTTGAAATTTTTAAAAATATTTTTAAAACAAAAGGTGAACAATCCCGTGGGTAGCATTAGCCAAAAAAAAATTTTTTTTTTTTGAAATTTTTAAAAATATCCTAACATTTTGTATTTTTATTAGAGAATAATGGTTATTGGTGCTTTTTTCCAACAAAAGGTGAACACCATGGGTAGCATTAGCCAAAAATGTAATTTTTTTTTGAAATTTTTAAAAATATCTTAACATTTTGCATTTTTGTTGGAGAATAATGGTTATTAGTACTTGTTTCCAACAAAAGCTGAACAATTCCATGGATAGCATTAGCCAAAATTGTTTTTTTTTTCTTGTTGAAATTTTTAAAAATATCTTAAAATTTTGTATTTTTATTAGAGAATAATTGTTATTAATGCTTGTTTCCAACAAAAGGTGAACAATCCCGTAAGTAGCATTAGCCAAAAAAAAAAGTTTTTTTATTTTTTGTTGAAATTTTTAGAAATATCTTTCAATTTTGTATTTTTATTGGAGAATAATTGTTATTGATACTTGTTTCCAACAAAAAGTGAACAATTCCGTGGGTAGTATTAGCCCAAAATGTAATTTTCTTTATTTGAAATTTTTGAAAACATTATAATTTTTTTTTGTTGGAATAATTGTTATTAATACTTGTTTACAACAAAAGGTGGACAATCCCTTGGGAAGCATTAGCCAGAAATGTAATTTTTTTATTGACATTTTCAAAAATATCTTAATTTTTTTTTTTTTTTNTTTTTTTTTTTTTTTTTTTTTTTTTTTTTTTTTTTTTTTTTTTGGAGATTAATTGTTATTAGTACTTGTTTCCAACAAATGGTGAACAATGCAATCCTATGGACAGCATTTGCCAAAATTGTAATTTGTTTTTATTGAAATTTTTAAAAATATTTAAAAATTTGTATTTTTTTGGAGAATAATTGTTATTAGTACTTGTTTCTAACAAAAGGTGAACAATCCCTTGATTAGCATTAGCCAAAAATGAAAATTTTTTTTGTTGAAATTTTTTAAAATATCTTAAAAAATTTTTTTCATTCGAGAATAATTTTTTTATTATTACTTGTTTACAACAAAAAGTGAACAATCCCATGGGTAGCATTAGCCAAAAATGTAGTTTGTTTTGAAATTTTTAAAAATATCTTAAAATTGTGAATTTTTTGGGAGAATAATTGTTATTAGTACTTGTTTCCAACTCATGGTGAACAATCCTATGGGCAGCATTTGCCAAAAATGTAATTTTTTTTATTGAAATTTTTAAAAATATCTCAAAATTTTCATTTTTATTAATACTTGTTTCCAACAAAAGGTGGACTATCTTATGAATAGCACTATTGTAAGTGTCATAAATTTGTTGAAACTTTATATTTTCGTTTGATTGTTTATAGAGCTTTGTTCGAACAAAAGGTGAACAATCTGTGGAGCAGTATTAGCGATGTTAAAAGTAAATAGAAAGTACTTTCAGAAGAAAGAAAGGCATTATCAGATATAGAACGATCCATTCAAGAGAGCTGCAGAGGAATTGGTCGCTTCAGGGTAGAAAACAAAACTTTTGGAAGGAAAGGGCTAAGTTATTAAAATAAGGGTCAGTGGGAAAAAGTAATCTTATTGGTTTTCAACCAACTTACGACAAACCCATGCTATTTAAGAAGAGGACCTTGACCGTAACCGCTTATTCGAAGGTCAGGGACATTCGAGCACAACAGTAATCTATTGAATCACATTGAATCAAGTAACTTATATGCACCACAACATTTGAATCTCACCGATTCCTGAAAATGCAGGTTAGTTTAATTTTTTTTTAAATTCAGTTAAAAATTTTGCTTGAAAATAGACCTTGATAGTTTTTCATTTTAAGGAAAAATATCTAAAACATGTAAATCACCGATTATATGTTACATATAAGGAAGATTATAAATGAATAAAAAATATAATAATTAGGAAATTGGTTTTTGGAACTGAAAAATTTGCTTTACTTGCATAGTTCTCTAATAGGTAAAAAATATTAATACATAAATAAATAAATCAATAAAATAAAAATGAAAAAAAAAAAATAAAAAACCTTTTTTCATACACATATTGGAGTTGGACAAATTTGAATTAAAACAACTGTAATGTGAGTTAAAACAACTTTTAAAAAAATTTTAACGAATGAGAAATTATGATAAATAAATTATACTAAGAATATTGAGATTTAGGGCAGTAAAAATTTTTTAACTTAGAAATTTGAATTAAAGCAACAGTAATAAAAGAGTTTAAAGTATAAAAATTTTGTGTGCTTGGTAGAAAATTTCTTGGATCTCACTTTATTTCAACTTTACATTTTTTTTGGTCTATTTCTATAAAAAAATAATAATGAAACATCCGTAAGGAATAGTTTTTAATCTTTATTCTGCTTTTGAGTTTTAAATTTTGGCTATATTTATCCGATATTTATTAATTCTCTGAAATAAAGTAATAAATTGTGGACCCAGAAAAATTAACCATGTTGTTCATTTGATTAATATATATTTTTTTAAGTTGTCAAGACAAGTATTAAGTTCATATAAGAGGTATATATAAGAAAAGAAAAAACTTTTTATCTAACGGTCTGATTTCCCCGCACTAAGATATTAGTGCTCTTTTAGGCGAATAAATTAAACATTACTTTGAGTGATTAAGCAGACATTATTATGATGATCCTCTTATCACCATTTAGTGCTAATATCAGTTGTTGTGTATTATATTTCTGAACTATTCAAAGTGCCTTACAAATGTTTGGTTAATTACTTATTCCTGCTGACCAGGAAAAGGAGAAGTTTGAATAATGCTTAACATACGACACTAAAATTCCTTTATTTTCATTATTGTAAAAAAATAGAAAAACAGAAGAATTACACATAAAAAAAAATAATTCAAAAATGGAAATAAATTCAGGGAAAGACAGAGTTGGAAAAAATGCCAGGAAAGAGTTTAAAATGTCAATTGTTTCGACCACAGAAGGTAAACACAAAAAATTCCTAAAGAAGTTTCTACTCAAAATGTTAGATAAAGAATTAAAAAGTAAATTTTGTTTTGTGCTAAGTGACATCTTTCTTTTAAATTTTAGCTAAAATTAGACTACTGAAAAAAAAGTCAAGGTAAAAGCAAAAAACAAGGACTGGGATTTCTTGCGTAAGCAAAGGAAGTTTTTTTTTTTCAATTAGCCGACGAAGGGAGAGGGGATATACAAAATTGCCAAAACCATGCTTACGTAATATTTTAACGTTCCTCGAGTTAATTTTAAAAAAGAATAGCACACAATTGTAAAACTTAACGATAATTTGAAGCAAATGCAATTTTTTTTAATTATTTAAAATTATTATTATTTGTAAATTAATTTAATAATTTTCGAATTTTTGAAAAAACGTTCAAATAATTCTGTTCTTGCGAAATAAAAATTTTGAATTTTTAGAAATTTTATTACTAGGAAAACATTCAAAATTTTGAAATTCTCATATAAAATTACACTTAAACTAAAGTAGCTAACACTTACCAACCCCAATGATTGCTTTGCAATAATTGTTTCTTGGCAAAAAACAAAGGAAATTATTCAATTATAATATTATAGTTGATTCAATTATTCAATTATAATATTGTATTTTTATATGCTCTAAAAAGAACACTTGCTTCTCCCCTTCCCACGTCCCAAATGTTCCCTTTATGATACTGTTAAGATATTTTTTTATTATTATATTTTTTTGCTTACCAAACGGACGGATGTATTTTAAATACAATGTTTGCATTTATCACTTAGTACATGAAGTTGAAAGTTAAGTTCTAAATCATTTGACGAATTTCTTTAACAGTAATTCATAATAGTATATTAATGTAATTTGCATCAAAAATGACAATTGTAAAAACGTTAATATGGTCAGACACCGATTTAAATAACTTTATTTAAATCGGAATTTTATTAGAATATCTATATTATTCTTCGCAGAATTATATTATTCTTATAATAATAATAATAAAAATAATAACAGAAAAACTTTCAATTTAGAAATCAGACTAAATAAAAAACGTGATAATAACAGTACAGGAAAGACTCTAAAACCAAGTTTATAGCTTAAAAGTTATAAGGAATTTTGCAAGCATGTAGTATTAAAGTAAAAGTTTTGATTTATACTTATTTGCGAGTCAGGAGCAATTATCTAGACAAATGAGGTATAAATTCATATGCTTCTTTCTTTCTTTTACGTTTTCACCTTAAAAAGTTGATTGGGCTTTAATAGTTCGAAAGTTGCAAAAGTTTAATGCATAGGAATTATAATTTTATACTTATGCTAATCCAAGAGTCTGATATTGCTAGATATTTATAAGCGATGTATTTGATCATATGCATTGTTTTATGGTAAATTAAATAAGCCTAAAATTAAGTTAGTAGGACTAATAGTTTAAAAGCAATGAGAGTTTCCATAACGTTTAAGTTCAAAAATTGATCTATTTAAAATCTGTCTTTAGATTCCATCAACTATTGTGTTTATTGTTTGATTGTATCAACTTGATATATTAGATATCGAAAAATAAATTATTAATATTATGTTAGTTTCTTTTATTGAATTAATAGTTTAAACCGCGATTCCTTCTATTATTGTTTTTTTATTGTTTAGTGCTTAATTGTATCTATCTGATTTTTTAAATTGAAATCAATCTCGAACATTCTACTACGAGCGAGATAAGCGAAGGAAAAAATGGAGTTTTCTGATTGGTAATTGCCATTCATAAAAATTAAATTAAATAAGATTTTTATTTTATTTTAACGATAACATTAGTGTTGTTTTCTATCTTTTAGCTATCGTTAAAAAAAAGCAATNATATATATATAAACTTAGCATGCTGGTAGTTCGAAGCACGAGATCAATGTCGAACATTCTACTACGAGCGAGATAAGCGAAGGAAAAAATGTATTTTATTTTAACGATAACATTAGTGTTGTTTTCTATCTTTTAGCTATCGTTAAAAAAAAGCAATTTACTGCACGTACTTTAATGTTAAATTATTTTTTATTCATTATGTCAAATTAAATAAATGACCAACGTAATAGATTAGCTGCAAGTGACGTAGTATGGGTATCTCGAGCCTTATTGGTTGTTAAAACGTGGCTTTGTTTACGTTAGCAACTGTTCTTTCCATTCTTTTTCGAGTTAACTTACCCCATCAAGTATCAATTCTCTTAAGTGATACATTCTATACACTATATATTTCTTACTTAACACAAAGACAGGCACGAAGACATGTAGAACATGAACTAACTAATTATCCATCGAAGTTGCCAAATACACAAAACAAAAATATATTACGTGTTACAATAAAATATATAAACAAATAATAAATCTAAGAAAGAATTATATTTAAACAAATTCAAAATGCGATACGGCGTTGTATTTAATAAACTTCACATTAATTAACATTCTAACTTATGAGGAAAAACTTACCTCAACTTTGACACGCCATTTTTTTTTTACCGATCAGCAGGTGCTGACATCATGGGTCACGTGTGTGGGTATATTTGATCTTCTTCTTTTCAAAGTGCAAGTGCCCAATTCAATGATCATACTCAAACTAAGTCAATACATTAATATTTCTGAATTTGTCAATGACCCTGTATATATTTTGTTTCTAGTTACCCTTTTAAAATGCTCTTCTGTGAATTTAAGTAATTTAAAGCCAATGGCAACTGAAATTGAAAAAATAAGTTACGTACTGATAAGCCGCCAAATAAAATTTAAAGTAATAATGATTCGTTCACGGAAAAAATTTATTGCGATTCATACATTGCCAAAAATGATGCTTGTTTAATTTTGGTAATATGTATTAATTGATATTAAAAAAACTACGTACTAAAAGGCAAAATTAATCGAGAAATTTTACCGATGTAATTACGAAAAGTTTTGAATTCGCGATGCTATTATTGATGACAATGATGATTGACAATGAATTTTGGTAATGGGTATCAATGAAGGGGAAAAAAATGCAATAAGTGGCAAAATTACTAAAGAAATTGTACAAATTCTTTCATGAGAATCGTAAAAAGTGTCAGCGCAATTATTGGAGTCAGTGATACTTAATTAAATTTGGTAATAAATAGTAATTGAAATAAGAAACATAAGCTTTGAGCTAAAAAACAAAGTTATCGAAGAACGATGCCAATTCATTTAGAATAAAAGTAAACAAACGCGCTATGTACCATTTTTGAAGCCAATGATACTATAAAGTACCAATTAAATCGTAATAAGTACTAATTAAAAGGATAAAATAAGCTATTTTAAAAGCAAAATCACTGGATAACTGGTCCTTGTCCGTTTTGAAGAAACATGAAAAATCGCCTTACTGTTAATAACGCCAATGATAATTAAGTTTGGTAATAGACACTACTAGTATTAATTAGTATTAAGGTAATTAGTCCAGTTTTAATAGGTACCAAATATACTAATATAGGTATACTGTATAATTTGTTGATATATTTGATACCTGTAAGTGACGCAGTGTGGGTATCTCGATCCTGATTGGTTGTTGAAAGGTGGTATTTGTTTACGTTAGCAACTGTTCTTTCCATTCTATTTCGAGTAATTCATGCCCGTCGAGTATCAATTCTCTCAAGTGACACATTCTATATTTTTTCCCAAAGATTTCAATTTTTTCACTTTATATTTCTCACTTAACACAAATACAGGAAAGAAGTAATGTAGAACATGAACAAACTAATAATGTATCACAGTTGCCAGATACACAAAAAAATGCATCCTCGATTACAAATAATAAA